GGGGGCCCACTTATCTAAGCGTTGGATTCATCCCGGGGTCGTACAGGGTGCCCTAAGTACAGTGGGTTATTCCGAGTCTCAAATACCAGCCTGTGGAATTTGAATCCTGGGTCAGAATATCCTCTTCGCCAAACAGCAGGTTCTTGTGTATGTCAGGAAATCCCCCAGGTTACCTTGGCTAGAGGGAGACAGGTGTGTGGCCCAGGCCCCAGCACCCCACCATTGCCTCAAGGTCCCAAAGTACAGGCGCTGAGTCACCGAGTTCCCTTTCTGGTGTGCACCTGGTGCTCCTACACCCAGAGAAGGTGTGTCTGGGCACAAGCCCAAGGACGCCGGTGGTGCACCCTGCTTCTGTGGCACCCAACCCATTACCAGCTTCTCTTCCCATCACCCTTAGTACCAGCAGGGAACACTAGTTAGATGGGAAAGGAGGAGGGAGTTCCTTGTCTAAAATTCCCAGCGCTCTATAAGTGATTAATTTCTGTGGAACATCAGCCCCAGAACCAAGAGTGTGGCCACCAGCTTATGGAAAGGTTTTCTCACTGCAGCTGCTAATCCTGAATAGGGCTGGTCACTAATGGAAGTCCTTGTCTTCCAAATAGCTAGCTCTGCCTTCACCTCTTATCTTGTCTGTGTTAGGGAAGACATGGATGATTTGTTTCTCTTCCGACAATAAGAACCCTAAGTAATATATGTTGGGGCCTGGCACACCTGTGCGTGAGAGAGAGAGAGAGAGAGAGAGAGAGGGAGGGTGGTGGGCTCCTCCTGCATGATGCTCATGCACTTTCCCCCAGTGGACATTCCGGGGGCTGGTGCAGGGAGCTGCCCAGCCTAATCCAGCTCTGAAGCCCTGGTGTTGACAAGCTCCCCAGACTCGGCCTACTCTGCCTGGAAAGATTTCTACGGGCATCTCCCTCCATTATATCAGCGCTATGGAGTCCTGCTTTTGGAGGGGGCGGTCACAATACTTAGCTGCTCAATGAGTGTTACTATTTTAACAACTGATCGCTTTCCCAGGATAGTCGAGCCAACCCTCAAGGGCTGACCTAAGGGAGAGACAAGGGGCTCGCCCGCTACCGATGGGCCCATTCAGCGCGGAGACACACACACCCTCTTAGGAGAGATGGCTGCAGCTACTCCGCAGGTCCCCACGGGGGGCCTTCCCAACGCTGGCCCTTCGCCTGGCCCTCCAGGGCCACCACCCCCTCCCGTGGCTTGCCTGGCGCCCCAGGCCGCGGCCAGCGCTTTGCTTTCCTAGCTCCGGCTCCCGCAGGTGCCCCAGAGCGAGAAAGCCGCTTCCGCTCACATGGAAATGTCCGCGAAAAACCAAAACAAAACAAAACCCAGACAAACCGCTGTGGAATAAATGATTCCTTTTCCGTCCATTTTGCTTTGCAGCTCAGGCTTAGCAGGAGAAGGTGGGGAGGCAACAAGAGCTGCATAAGCGCTTTGAAATCCACAAAGGCTGGTGGTGTCAACAGGCAGCAAAGGGAGTGAAGAATTGAAGCAGTGAGCTGGATTAATCGGGGCAAAGCACTAAACGATACAGATATTTCGGCAACGCGTGCGCGTGTGGGCGAGTGGACAAAAGGGCTCATTACTCGTATGATTGCCTCAATTCTCCACTTCCTTCGTGCGCGTGTGTGGACGCTGGCTCCAGGCCTGAGTCAGCCTCCCGCCCAGGACGCACAGCTCCAGGCCCGGGCCGGCGCTCGTCCCGCCGTTCGTCCCGGCTCCCCGGCCTGCGTGGCAGCTACGGCCTGGCGCGGTCGGCGCCGAGGAGGTCGGCGAGGCGCAGGCGGCCGATCTTCTTCACCTCGCCGAGGGCGGTGCGCAGCTCCTGTGCCGGCGGGCAGTGCAGCCGGCGCGCCAGCTCGCGCGGCACCGCAGCCCGGCCGCTTAGGCGCGCGGCGAGCACGAAGGGGAAGCCGAAGCGCGCGCGGTACTGCGCGTTGAGCTCGGCCAGCTGGAGCCGCTCTTCCGCGCCCAGGCTCGTCAGGCCCGCGCCGCTCTGTTCCCGCTGCGACTCGGCCGTGAGCGTGCCCCGCTGCAGCTCGCGGCCCGCCAGGTCCGGGTGGCAGCGCAAGATGCCCTCCTGGCCTGCGGAGAAGCACAGACACGTGGCGGGAGCGCGTCACCGCACCTGCTCTGCACCGTGCAGCGGAGAGGGCGCGCCGGCTGCGAACCGAGAGCTCCGCGGGGTCGCGGTAAGCCGGCCGAGCCCGGCCCCCTGCCCCGCCCCGCCCTGAAGGAGGCTGCGGGAGTGTAAAGCAGGGTCTCCAGGCCGTGGTGTCTGGGCGAAGCTGGGGAACCCATGGCGCCCGCCCCTCAAACAAATCCTGGACCGTGGGCCTCTCAGTCCCTGCTACATTCGGTACGGACTAGGACCCCGGGGCGAGGCGGGAAGTCATAGGTTTCACTTTTTAGACCTTGGGTCGAGAAGAGTGGAGCAGAGAGGGCGGCCGCGGAGGCTCGGAATTTACGACTCCATCGGGAAGGAGCAGGGACGCGATAAGGAGCCGGAGCAGTTCGTATCTTTTCAAAGTCCTTTGCTCTCAGGGGGGCTTTGATGTCGAAAGGGGCCGGACGAAAGTGCCTGAAGACTGCCTGCAAAAGCCCTGAAATGGGTTTCGTTCTGCTCCAAAGGAGAATGGGCAGGAGCGGATGGATCCACGGCGATAACATCCCTGTGGCTTGGCAAATAAACGCCCAGAATTTTGTGACCCTAAGTGTGAATTCTGGGTTTCTGGAATCAGGCATCTAAAGAGCCTCACCGATGAGTAACTGCAAAGAAACCCTTTTTCAGCGGGAGTTCCACAGTCCTTTGAAAGAAAGTGACTTTCCTCTATTTAGGGAAATTGCACTCACCCACCACCTAATCTCCTAGGCCTAAAATTGGAACCCCCTGGTGTGATACCTCGGTTTATTTATTTATTTATTTATTTGAGACAGGATCTCTCTCTGTCACCCAGGTTAGAATGCAGTAGCAGAATCATAGCTCATGGCAGCCTCGAACTCCTGAGCTCAAGCGATCCTCCTGTCTCAGCCTCCCGTCTCAGCCTCCTGAGTTGCTGGGATTACAGGTGTGGACCACCACGCCTGGCTAATTTTTTTGTTTGTTTTTTTTTGTAGAGAGGTGTCTCACTGTGCTGCCCAGGCTGGTCTCAAACTCCCAGCCTCAAGCGGTCCTCCTGCCTCAGCCTCCCAAAGTGCTGGGGTTACACGCTGAGCCACTCCTCCCAGCCCATACCTGGGATTTTAAGTCCTAACCTAGGGGCTTTCCCTGAGCCCTGGCCAATCATTGTGTTTATCTTTCCAAAGTGAGAGTTAGAATCCTCCCAGCTAGGCAAGATTTCAGACCTGGTGAGCAGGGAGCCATGATCTGTAAAACGAAGGTGACACCTAACTTACTGTGTAGTTGTGAAGATTAAAGACAATTCATTCACCTAGAACAGAGCCTAATGCCTAGTAAACATAAACAGTCATGATTAGTCATAGTAAACGCAGTGGAACTGGAATGGTGGCCACAGGATGTACTGGCTCTTGGTATCTCAGCACAGCAGCAGTTGTCAGCCATTGGTGCTGAGAACAGGTGTGAGGCTCTATTAGAAAAGGGGAGCATGTAAAACACCCTTTAATAAGTTACATCTCAATACAGCTGGGGGGAGAAGTCCTTTTATTATGGTATAACCAACTCCTCCTCAAACCTTATGGTTTCTGTCCTATAAAAGGATGGTTGAGATTGCCCCATCTAACTCATGGACCAAAGTCCCAAGAGGGAGGGAGAACGGGATAACGTCTCCATGTAAGAGAAGATTCAGTGGAGGCTCAGAAAGAGTTAGGCGACCTGCTCTAGGTCACTCAGCACTCTGCCTGGCGCGTCAACTGCAAATCACAGGCGTTTTCAGGGCACCGGCTGCCCCTGCAAGGTTAAGGGGAGTTCAAAATGAAACTCATGTCACCAATAATCCCATCCCTGTACCGGCACTGTTTTAGACCCCCTCTCGTGGGTGCCCTGCCCCTCAGCCACTGCAAACAGGAGTTGGTTCTTTCTCCCCAAGTCCAGCCCTATCCGGGTCGTGCGAAAATGTAGGTGTTAAATTCCCCACGTGGGGGAGCAGCCCCAGCCCTGGGCCGGGTTGTTCGGGTCACAAGGCTGCTTGCCAGGCCTTGGGGAACAGGGCTCAGCGCGGACGCCAAACCCCGCCTGGATCCCCTCCGTGGCCATGAGTCCCGGGATCCGGAAAGGGCCCCAGCTGCGGAGAAGGGGAAACCACGCGTCCTGGGCCGCTTCGGTGCGGGGATGGGCAGGACGGTCCCCGCACCTCCCCCTCCCGTATGCAGAGATTCAAGGAAGCCTCTAGGTCACTTCGCCCAGTCGGGGCGCTTCTCTTTCTCCCCATTTCGTACTCTCTGCAGGATCAGCCCGAGCTGCGGGGAAGTAGTTACTGGAGACTGGCCCCAGCGTGCGGGTGGGGCTGGGGTCCCCTTACGGCCCCCTCCCTGACGCCTGCGCAGCCGACAGAGCAGAGGGAGGCGGCCGCGCAGCGCCCGCGCCAGGGCCCCCTTTGCCCTTCTTGGCCTTGCACCTCACTCCGGAGGGTTTATCTCCCCTCTTGAAAACATCGCCCAGGGTTAATGTTTGCCTAGGACTGAACGTGTGTTTTCCACTCTTGTGGGGAGGAGAGAAGAGAAAAGAGGCCAAGAAAAGGGAAGCGCAAAAGGCACAAGAAGACTAAAAAAGAAGAACTGGAATTTACACACACACACACACACACACACACACGCACACACCCTCGGCTGCATATAACAAGAAAAAGATGTGAGGCGTCAGGTAGAGGATGGTAGCTCAGAAGAAACAGAACGTCACCTCGCCCGGCCAAAGACTGACTTCATCTTCATTGCAGCAAACCTCTGAACCCTTGAGTACTGCGGGGAGGCGGGGGAGATGGCGACCACCCGGCCCACCCGCCTGCAGCAAAGACCCAGTTCCCCGCCAGCGCGTTGTATCCCGAAGGGACGCCCAGCTGTAGCCATAAATCAAGTGGGAGTCTGGCGATTGGGCGGGTACTTGCCACCTCCCTGCCTCCTGTCCCTAGGGTGCCCCCGCCTGGAATGCGCACGCACTGGCCAAGCAGTCAATGGCCTGCACTCCTTGGGGCATCTCCGTGCTGCCCGTTCTTCATGCTTTCCTGAAATTCTGGACTTACCGCTTGTGCCATTGGCGTGTCGTATCTAGAGACGCAGGTGTGGACATGTATTATTTGTCAGGACCACAGGATATGAGTTTTTGCGCCTAGAAGAATTCCTGGCACAGAGTGGATGCTCGTTGTTTCAGTGAGAGAACAGGGCAGACAACAGTGGCCACTGAAGCCCGGAACCCCATACCAGTCCACCTGCCTCCCTGGTCTGTAGCCACTGCTGTGCTCTCACTCCTGCTGCAATGGATAGTCTGTCCTTTCTATCCGAGACCAAGCCCACCATTTGTGTTCTTGAAGCCAGCTCCTCTCTGTCTCAAAGACTTTGCTTATGCAATTCCAAATATCCATTTCTCCACCCCTCTTGCCCTCCTCAGCATGAAACATGCTTTGGAATTACTTGCCCCACAAACAAAACGAAAGCCTCCTCTTGATTCCTTGTTGCCCTCTGGTTTCTCCCCATCTCTCTGCTCCTCGTCCCAGCAAAACTTGAGAGGAGCTGTCTCCTGGCCTCTCCACCGCCTCACCTCCCTTTCCAGGTCCACTCTGTCAAACCTTCAGCCCCACCCACCAACCAGTCTGCACTCAGCAAGGTCGCAGATGATGGACATCTTGCCTGAGCCCAAAGTCGATGCCCTCGCCTCTTCTTTCTCAACCTCTCTGGAGCATGTTACATGCTTGGCCCTCTCTTCTTCCGAAAAGTTTGTCCTCAGTTGCCCTTGGAGACACCACTTGCCTATTTTCATCCTGCTCTGCCAGATCACAAACATTGAGGTACCCCGGGATTCAGCGCTCACATCTCTTCCCTTCTCTATTTACAGCAATGCACTAAGTGTTCTCATCCAGTCCCAGGGTTTTATATGCCATCGATTCTTTATCCCACCTAGATCTAGTTTAGTGGTTAGTTTTTCATGGAGTTCCTCTGTTATGATCCAACTGAGCATCAACCGATTCATTTAGATAATTGTAAGGCTTATACTTAGACTTAGCAAGCTCCTTCTCCACCCTGTCCCCTCGATTCTGAGTCTTCCTCGCCTCAGAAAATGGCAGCACCACCCACCCAGCTGCTCACACTAAACACTTAGGAGTTATCCTCAATTCAGCTTTGTTTCTGACCCACCTCCCCTCCAACAAATCCATCAAAAAAAAAAAAAAATCCTGTCTGCGCTAACTCTAAGATTTATTCTGAAAACCAAGTCGCATCTCTCCATCTCTACTGCCCCAACACAGCCCAGGCAACCTCCTCTGCCACTTGCAGTATCGTGGCAGCCCTCGACCTCGTCCCCCTGCGTGATGTAGCCCCTACACAACCATCCTAAAGGGTACAGCAAGCGGCGAATCATTGCAAGGGGAGAAAACCAAATTCCTTATTATACCTAAACAGCTCTGCATGATCTGGCCTTGCCACCTCTTCTTCCTCATATCCCTGCACCCGTTACTGTTCCCCAACCATCTTGGTCTTTCTGAGCCCCCCAAACATCAAATGCATTCTGGCCTCAGGTTCCTTTTCTCAGAGTGGCCTTGTCCTAGATTTTGGCTGCTTCCTTCTCATCCTTCAGTTTTAAACTTAA